CCCATTTCTCAATTTTTGACCAATTCCATCCAAGCCCTAGACTGTAAAATATATGCTACTTTAATTCCTTAACACAGAGCTGCAGTGTTTTTCCGGTTTGGTTGTATCCATTACACTCCTGCCAACAGGACTGAGAGTTCCTGCTGATCCAATGAGACTCGAGAGCACTGCTCTTTCAAGAGGGTGGAGGGGAAATGACTTGTGGTCTTAATTTTCACTCCCTGATTAACAAAGAGGTTGCACATCTTTCAAACTGTTTATTGGCCACTTTCTTTGCAATGCAGTGAAATGACTTTTTATATACCCCTTACTAGCACACATTTCTTTCTTATTAGTTATTAAGAGTTCTTTGTGTGCCGGGTGGGGCAAAAGTAGCATTACAGTTGTGAGTATATGAAATGGAGTTTCCTCTTATATTATTATTTATTTTTTATTGCATTATTTTCCACACAAACAACGGAAAACCTACTTTTGCACCATCCTGTATTTTGTTTACTAGTCCCTTTGCCAGTTATGTTTTGAAAACATCTTTTTTCTTTTTGATGCCACTTAGATAAAAATTATTAATTTCAATGTGGTTGAATATATCGATCCTTTTTTTATGACATACACTTTGGGTGTCTTGTTGAATACATCCTTCCCTATTCTGAGGTCATAGGCTAGTTTCCTAATGGTTTAAAATTAAGAGTTTAATTTGGTCTTTCACTTTTAAGTCTCTAACCCATCGGGATCAAATTGGTGCCTGTGTGACATAGGGTTCCATTTTCATTTTTTCCATGTAGGTAATCAGGTGTCTCAGCACCAATTATGGAAAAGTACATCCTTTCTCCAATGGCCAGCAATGCCACCTATTCATAGGTCAAAGTTTCATAAATGTATGGTGGTGTCCTGGGGTCCCTATTCCTTTCTATTAATTAACTAGAGGCCCGGTGCCAGGGGGGGGGGGCCTCAGCCCGGCCCTGCACCCTCTCTCAATCCGGGACCCCTTGGGGGATGTCTGACTGCATACCTGTGCGATCGGGCCTAAACTGGCAGTCGGACATCCATCTCGCAATCTGGACCACTGGCTCCTAACCACTGGCCTGCCTGCCTGATCACCCCTAACCACTCTGCCTGCCTGCCTGATCACCCCTAACCGCTCACCTGCCTGCCTGATCACCCCTAACCATTTGCCTGCTTGCCTGATTGCACCTAACTGCTCACCTGCCTGCCTGATCAACCCCAACCACCTCTGCCTGCCTGCCTCATTGCCCCTAACTGCTCATCTGCCTGCCTGATTACCCCTAACTGCCTCTGCCTCAGTCCCTGCTGCTGCAGCTTCGTCCGGAAGGTCATTTGGCTGTCTGGTCTAATTAGCATATTATGCTTTTATTATTATAGATTAGCATATCCCTAAGCAAATGCTCAGCAAAATTTTGCTCTATGTTTTTAATAGATACTATTTATGCAAATATTTTTGGTCATGAATGGAATATCTAATTTTATGAAATAATTTACCTACATCTATTTAGATCATTATATGGTGTTTCTCCTTTAATCTACAGTGTGAATGACACGTGCGTTTTTCAGTGCTTGATCACCCTCCTATTCCCTGAAATACACCCACTTGGCCATGATGTATTATCTATTTTATACATGGCGGAAAAGGCCTGCTAATGCTTTGCCTAAGATATTTGCATCTATAGCCATGCATGAAATAGGCCCACAGATTTCTTATGCCCACCTTGTCTAAGCTTGGTATCAAGAATATCCTGGCCTCATTGAATGGGTTAGAAAGTGTGCCTCTTTTCTTATTCTCTAGAGTTTACTTAAAATTGATAATATCTTTTGATTAAAAAAAAATTGGTAGAGCTTGTCTCTACTTACCATCTAAGGATGTGTTTTCTTTGTAAGAAGGTTTAATAGCTAGAAGATAATCGACCTCATATTTTTTCCTTAAGCCCGTTTTTGTAAAGTATACATTTCTAGAAATTTGTTCATTTCACATAAGTTTTCAATTTGACATAATGTTGTTCATGGCCGTCTCTTATCTCCTACAATTCTGCTTTATCTATTGGCTCAGAAGCTCCACAAATGGGAGGCTTCTGTTTGCTCTCACCTTCGCTGTACACCTAGAACTTGGAAGAATGGCTGCCTCAAAAACACGTGGGAACGAACACATAACTGCATGTCTGCCTCCCTGTTCATTTCTTGCTGAGTTCTCTCTGTTTCTCCCCGAGTCCTGCCATAGCTTTATTTTACTGGTCCCTTTCCAAGAACCAAATCTTGACTTTGTTGAACAATTTGTTCATCATTTTCTCCTATCTTCTTTATGTCCTGCCTTTTATTTTCTTTGAATTTATCCTAATGTTTTTTATTAGATAAAGTTGTAAACTTGGCTTCTCAATTTTCAGCCTTTCTTTTGAATATAAACATTTAAAGCTACACACTTTCTTACACATTTGTTTCATTCCACTAATTTTGACATATTTTCTTTCATTCAGTTCTAAGTAGTTTTCAGTATCAATTTTGATTTGGTTAGAATCATGAGTAATTTAGAAGTGTTGTTTTCAATTGTAATCAAATGAATTAAAAATATTGTTACTACCTTCTTATTTAATTATACTGTATTCAGAGAACTATATATATGAATAATATGATTCTCTGAAATGCACTGCAATTTGTGTTATGGTTTAGTGTACAGTTAATTTTTAATAAATGTGAGCTTGAAAAGGATGAATATTTTGTTAGGTACAAGGTTCTTTATTTACTGAATAAACCAAGATTTGTAATTCAAATCTTCCATAATGTTTAATCAGATTTTTGTCTGTTTGATCTTTCAATATTTTAAAAAAATATGTTAAATTATTCTACTCTGATAGAATTGTCCATTTCTTCCTGGAGTTCTATTGAGAGCTCTCTCTCTCTCTCTCTCTCTCTCTCTCTCTCTCTCTATATATATATATATATATATATATATAATACATAGTTTATATATTTATATTTATAACACTAGAGGCTCGGTGAACGAATTTGTGCACGGATGGGGTCCCTCAGGGTGGCCTGCGGAGATTGGGCCCCAGATCACCCCCACCAGCCTCGCAGCCCCAGCTCGTACCTCCAAGCCTTGCAGTGCTGCCTGGCACCCCGCCTTGGCCTGGCACTGCCCCCTAACCTGCTCCACCATCCTGCCTTGGTCCTGCTCTCGAGAGGGCCCATTGGGGCCGGCAGTGCCTCCATTGCCGCCTGCTGCCAGCGCCATGTCGCCAACGCCCGCCATGTTCAGTGCTGCCCCCTGGTGGTCAGGGCACGTCATAGTGAGTAGTCAAACTCCTGGTCTCCAGGTTGAACTCTCAGTCAAACGACTGCCTGAGGGGACAATTTGCATATTAGGCTTTTATTGTATAGGATACCACAGACTGGATAGTTTATGAATAAAAAACATTCATTTCTCAGACTTCTAGAGGCTGGAAGTCCAAGATCAGGGTGTCAACGTGGTCTGATGAGCGCCCTCTTTTGGGTTGTATGCTCGCTTCAGTGCCTGGCTGCCGGCCGCCATCTTGGCTGACAGTTAATTTGCATATACTCACTGATTAGCCAATGAAAAGGGTAGCGGTTGTACGCTAATTACCATGTTTCTCTTTTATTAGTGTAGATATATATAATACATGCTAGAGCATGAAGTCTATACATGTTTAGAATTCTTGTATCTTCTTGGTAAGCTTTTCATTTTTAAGTTGTGACTATGTGTATACCTACCAATGCTTTGTCTGATATAGACAGTTACCCCAGTTTTCTTTTGGATAATATTTACCTGATAATCTTTCCCCATAATTCTACTGTTAACCTTTCCAGGTTGCTATGTGTTAGGTATGTCTCCTATAAATAGCATATGTTGGACATTGTTTCCTATTCAATCTGACAATTTATCTTTTCATTCCCCAAATTAGTTTATTTGATTGATATATTTAAACTTATTTCTATTAACTTGATTTCCTGCTTTATATTTTCCCCCACTTTTTCTACATTTTTTCTTGCATTTTAAAAAAAATGACTGAGCTATTTTGGTTGTTTTAGTTTTTCCTATGCCTTTCACCATCCCACCAACCATGATTTTATAAGTTGTGCATCTTTTTAAAGATTCTTTTAGAGCTTAACTTTGAAATATTAGCATGGATACCCAGCTTAGGGGCTAAAGTTAATATCTTGTCCTCCACTACAAAACAATGATCTGAGAATACTTTAATACCAATAATACTTTTCTCTTGATTACATGATGTCATTGTGTGATATTTTAGGTATAACCTTTTGAAACCTACATTATACATTATTATTACCACCACTAGAGGCCCGGTGCACGAAATTTGTGCACTGGGGGGGGGGAGGGAAGGTGGTCTCTCTCAGTCCAGTGTGCACCCTCTTGCAGTCTGGAACCCTTTGGGGGATGTTCCCCTGTGACATCCCTCTCACAGTCTGGGACCCCTCGCTCCTTATGGCCCGCCTACTCGCTGCTCTTTACCATTCGGCTCGCTGCTCCTTGAGCCCGGCTTCTGGGTGAGCAGTGTTCCCCCTATGGTAGCTCACTGACCAGCAGGGGGCAGCTCCTGCATTGAGCATCTGCCCCCTGGTGGCCAGTGTGCATCATAGTGACCGGTCGTTCTGGTCGTTCCACCGTAAGGGTTGCTTAGGCTTTTATTATATAGATTACTATTATTTGTAAGTTGTTGTTTGGAGTTCCCACAATATTTCTAATTTGTTTGTTCAACATTCCTTCTTGAATCTGGAATATTCCTAAAGAACATCCTTTAGAAATTTCTTTGTATACATATGTATACAACAACAAAGGAGAAAGGCACATTCTTTCTGGTCCCCTTGCCTTATCTCTCTCACCACAGGCACACAAAGCTCAGAGCCATTCACCACCACCCCCCCAAGAGTGCTCCCCAGCCAGCTTCCCTCTGCCACCGCAGGGCACCTCACTCCATCCCTCCAAACCCCCTGCCCACATGTCCCGAGTCTACCTTCAGATCAGACACGTCTCGGTAGCACTGCTCGGAGCGGGTGTGGTCCGACAGCTGCACGTTCCAGAAGCAGGGGAGCTGATACACGAGGAAGGGGTTCTGTTTGATGACGGCGTTGAAAATGTCCTGGGGATAAAAGCAGGAGACACAGTGACATGGTCAGGTGGGTCCTGTGGACGCTGCTGGCTCTCCAGGCACCGCGGCACCCACGGGTGCTCCAAACAGGCTGGCTGACACCGCGGGGCACTGCCCCGCCTTCTCTCTCTGGGAACCACGCAGTCACGCCTGGACAGAGATGGGGGATGCCCAGCTCACGGGTCCTGCTGGCCTCAGAGCGCACCATATGGCAAGCGCACGTGGGGGCGGGCGGGGAGCGTTTCTGCCATTGAGCAGGCCTCTAATAAATGAAGTCGCTTTTCCGCCCCTCTTCCCACCTCATCCATGTGATCCATCCCCCACCGCCCGGAGAGGAACCTGCAGGATGACAAGTTGCGCTGCGCATTCAGGGGCTGAAACAAACGGGAGCTGCGGTGGCGGCAGCTCTTGCTGGGGCTCTTGGCGGACTCGATGATGGATGCGCCTGGGCTTCCCTACGGGCCATGGCTCCTGGGTGCCCACTCCCCACTTCCCCTTCCAGCCCGGGCTTCTTCTAAAGACGCTTCACCTCTCTCGGCTCTTCTCCAAGCTCCCTGGCCGGGCCATACTTATTAACTCGCTGCTGACAGGAGATGCCGGGAGGTGAGCGCCAGGCCCCACAGCCGGAGATGGCTGAATAAACCATCCCCGCTGGCCATGGACATCGGATTGCCAGCTCTGGGGGACACACGCAAGGTACGGTGACCTGGCTTAAAATACGCTGCTGGAGAACAGATTTCCCCGCAGGTTTAAAACAGCTACCTGGGTAATTTTTAACTCATTCATTCTACCGGATCTCATGTTTGAAAAGGAAATTGGTTTCTGGCTGCTTGGGAAATACTGCATAATAATCATGCCAAAAAAAAAAAAAAAGAAAAGAAAAGAAAAGAAAAAAGTCAAGTAACCTTATAGACTTTCTCCTTTCCTCTGTATTAGAAAACTTTGCAAGCATTCAATGACTCAGACAATTGAACACAGAACAAACCGCAGAGTGAGCTTGCTTTGTGGATGAATGGGGAAGGATAAAACGCAGGAAGCCAGAGAAATTGTCTTCACATCTCAAGACGGCCATTTGCGCCACGGGAAACTCGAAATCTAAATGTGAGAGCCGGGCAGAGCCCAGATCAAAGGCCCGGGGCCCTGCATCTTCCAGAGAAAATGAGAAATGGGGTTTTTATGATCTTATATTCATAGTTTGGGGGAGAGGCGGGACTTTTGCAGACGGCCTGGATTAAAAGCTGGTTTCTCCAGCCAAGCAGTGTGTCCCTTTTCTTTACATGCATTTCCCTGGGGGATAGGGTCATAGCACTGGATCCAGGCAAAAAGGCTTCACTCTGCAAGTCAGACTCTGCTGCCAGGAAGGCAGATGGGACCTTGTCCAGAACCGCGCTGTGCGCTCTGGAATCTCAGGGGGCAGGCCGGGCGCTCTTCACGCAGCGACCTCCCCGTCACACACCAAATTATCATTTACTTATGAGTCCGCTTCAATAAACGTTGAGCTCTCCGAGGCCAAGGCCGGCGTCCTTCTTTCATCTCTGTAATCCTGTATCTGACCACAGCCCCTGGCATACCCAGCGTGCAGTGCAGGTCTGCGGCATGAACAAACGCATGAACAAAGGAAATAAACCCACGGGCTGAGCTGTCGTCCTAGACGGGCCGGAGAAGGCAGATGTATCCAAGGGTACACAGTCACACCGTGCTGCTGAACTATGTGCTTTTAAATATGGTGAAATGGCCTATTGATGCTATGCATAGTTTACCACAATCATTTTAAAAGAGCCCAGCACTTGACTGGAGACGTCATATACGTCCTATAAGTATTAGGTTTTCTGCTATGTTCCCCCCCAGAGCTATGATAACCTACCTTGCTTCAGCTGATGGATGGTGTTTGGACAATATGTGCCATTTATCTTTACAGACAAAGAGCAGCTCCTCTGTGACTTTATTCTGGATAAGCCTTAGCAATTTAGTTTATGTTTAGAGACGGGCCCTATGAGTGTTCCTGATTTCATTGGTCTTCTTAAGCCCGCCTCGATCCCCACATATGTGAACTACGGTGAAGGGCGTGGTGGTGCTGGGTCTTTAAGACGAGCTCCCAAAGCCTTTGGTTCCATAAGAAACTGATCATCGGAGGTGGCTTCCTCCTCCTCCCCACCTTCCTGTTTTTTTACTGTTGCTGTTGTTAATTTTTGTGGGGAGTGACCGGGGTCAATGGGTGATAGTGTAGCCAGGAAAATTGCCATTATATATACCCTTTTGTATTTTTTAAATGTTAAAACAACTAACTGTATTACGCAGGCAAAAAAGGAATTAATTAACTTTAAAATAAAATTCTAAAAAAATACGTTTTGGCCTAGCTGAGTGGCTCAGAAGCGGCCATCTACCACCAAGTCAGTGAGAGCCTGCAGCGAGAATGCAGCACAGCACTCAGAGCCGAGTTTCCCAGGAGGCACTGCGGTTAGTTTGGTGGATGGAATTGTAGCACCCGTGGGCTCCCAAGTCAGTCCTCCTCGGGATGCTTAGCTCAGCAGAAGGGTCGGGGGGAAAACGCCAGGCAGCTGAGAAATGATCTTCATGGAGACCCAGTATATACATTTCTAAGACTGCTGGAAAGAAACTAATTCTCCATATCACACATAAATGTCAACACTGAGACTTTTTACTTATCCCAGAGGCACGTATTTGGAGAAAAAGTATATTCACCATTTAGTTAAAGGTAATTTGGTCAGAGTCGAAATTTAAAAATAAATTACACACACAGATATACACACAAAGTCACGGAAAGAATGGGATATATGCAGAAGCCTGAACTTAGAAGTCAGAAGTGCAAATTACACCTAGTGTTGATCTCCTTTGTGCTTTGTTAGGGTTTGTTTTTTTTTTAGGATATTATTTCACTTAACACTCACAGGATAGATCTTGTCATCCTTATGCGATAGGTGGGGAAACTGAGGGGCTGAGACAGGCACTTGAACAATTGACAGTACAAGGCTATACCAGATCCAAACTCAGATCTGCCTGACTCCAAACCAGGGCTTCTTCGTCTACACCACACAGACCAGCGCCCCAACAATGCCTCTCTGGGGCCCTGGGACTCAGGCCAAAGACTTTTTCCTTTTCTGACTATTGGTTTCTACACGCGTAAAAGTAAGAAACTGTTACTCACCCTGCAGAACTCAGAAAACTTTCACTGCTCTGCCCCCGCCCCCATCCCCCCACAGTGGTAAGCTAGTAAATGTTTAATTACCAGCCCTCCAGATAAAAAAAAAAAAACCAAAACCCGATTTGTGGCTTTTGTCTATTCCCATGGTGTAAATACTCCCATTCATGGCTGATTTCAAGCTACCAATGTGATGTCATGAAACACCAGTGGGAAAGAAATGTGCCCAATTGGCCCAAGTGAGCTGGTGTGAGCTAGCTCTAGCACACCACTACAATTATTCCCCCCACACAAAAGCAATTTCAGTAAAATAGTAAAATTCGGCACAGGGTGTTATTTGATTGCTTCTTCTGGAGAGAAAAGGAATAAACATTTGCAAAGTTACAAACCAAGAGAATATAGTGATGGATTCAGGAAAACAGATTCCAGTCAAACCTGTGAAAGAGAATTTCATGAAATGTTATTGCAGGAACGAATTCTAATGAGGTTGGATAGATGCTCCAATATATAGAAGAAAATGTGGGGCAGAAGCTACACGCAATGGCGAAAGATTTTAATGCACGCTGCAGATCCATCCGTCTCTGCAGCCTGAGCTGAGAATCGATGCTTTTAAATGGCGTGAAGACTTGGCGAGTCCTAAGTGGCAGATGTGATTCCACCGTGTTTGCCAGGCTCATTGAGAAGAGGGGGGTGTCTGGGACAGAAGGCTAAATACAGAAATTCGGATCACTCTCCCAGTTAACCAGCCTTTCCTTTTGGGCGGTTTTAATTTAATTTTTAAAAGCACGAACTATTGCAAACCATCAGAGAAGTACAGAAACGACTATAATAAATACCCACGACCACAGTTTAATGAATGCTAATATATCGCCACATTGGCTGTTAATAATAGAGCATTACAGTCAGAACAAGAGCTCCTCCATCTCATTCGAGCACTCCCTCCCCCCAGGGTAACCAGCATCATGAGAGGGTCGGGTTTCACTGCCAAGCATGTTTTTATGTTTTATTCCCTATGCATCTATTAATTAACACCATATGGTGTTTTTAGAGTTTTTTTATAGTGAATATTTTCTATTCACCCAATGTTGTCTTTAAGATTTAACCACGTTAAGAGTTCAAATACGTAGTTTATACATTGTACTCACTTTATTTACTGTATGAATACACCAAATTTATGTATGCATTCCCCTACCGAAGGACATTTGGCCATTTCCTATGTTTCTGCTGTTGCACACACTGTTGCAATAAACATCCTAATCCCAATGCACTGCACACATGTTTTGCTGGGAACACGTCTGAGAGCTTAGCTGGGGGACCGCCTCGGAAGCTATGTGAGGATTGCTGTGCTGACGGTGCTACTTGTCTTCAAACATCTGGAATGACTCCATCGCCCCTCTCCCCTGCTTTCCAGACATCCCTGAGTCTCAGAGATTCTACCTTTAAAAAGGCTTTCTCATCTCCCCTTTTACTTATTCATCCAACAGTGATTTACTGAGCACCTATTGTGTGCACACTCATGGAAATCGACTGGTACTTGGGTTTCTTCCATACTTTTCCTAATCTCATGGGTTTCACGCAGAATTATTCATTTAGCATATATTTCCTGGGTGTGTACCATTCAGTCTTTGCCGGGTCCTTTTGTGGAAGACAAGCAAACCGCTCTGATTCCATGTGGCGACTGTGAACAACGAGAATGTGCAGCGCTTATGAAGGAAACACGGGGGAGGGGGCCTAGGCCGAGCTGGGCTGGCGTTTAGTCAGGCAGACAAGGTGGGGATATGGGAAATATGGACACGGCAGCCTGGCGACACTGGGCTATCCCAGACCTCCAGGCCCAGACC